CTCCCTCCCTCCCTCCCTCCCTCCCTCCCTTCTGAATCATTGCTCCTCGACTGGGGTCTCTGGGTAACTTGGTGGCACCTCTGCTACCTTTTTCCAAGAAGAAAACAGACCACAGAAGCCTTAGTTGTTATTACATGACGGGTAGGAATGGGCTGTTGAAAGAGGTGCATCTGGCTTTGTTTTTAATACTGACTTAAATGCCTTTGAGCTAGATGAGGTTTACTAAAAATCAATTTTTAGCAGGGGTATTTTTAAAATGCTGCACCGTTTCTTGGTTTACTACTTGTACGGAATTTCTAACTATTTCAACGTCTTGGGAGAGAGAAGATTCCTCCAAGTCACAAACATTCCATAGGACTAGGAACAACATTCCACAATTGTGTGGGCGCTTGAATGTTTTGACACTCCCCACACCCCGGCACGACAAAAGGGTTTGGTTCCAAGAATGAGGTAGTTCTGGGAAAGCCTGGGCAAGTGTGAGGTAGGGTGGCCTTCCAGGAAGACCTTGGAAGCCAAATTCTTCTCAAGAAGCTTGAGAAACTCCTAAGGTGGAGGAAAGTTCTGCTCCAGAATCGGCCCTTTGGCAGCTGCATGGAGGTTTAAAGGACTGGTCCCGTGAGGACCAAAGGTAGAAGAAAGCGAGAGAGATGGCAATAGACCTGAGTGATGGCTCAAGAGCCATTCTGAATTGGCCAGCTATGAATTCTGATTGGCATGCAAGCCAAAGCACCTTCAGTTTCACCTTCTTTCCTTCGCTGATGGAAAGAAGATCTATTTGCCGACACTCCTGATTTCTCAGGTTCCATTTCCCCAGACGGATGGCTTGACATGTCGACGGGAGCTTCGTGCCAAAACTTTGTGGCCATGTGACAAATTGGTTTTGTTCCTCAAGTGGTCTGGCTGACAAAGGCTTCCGTTGTTTTTAGTGGGCCGATTCTCTTCCTGCCCTGATCGTAATGGGATTCCCTCTGACTTTCCTCAAAGGGGAAATAATGGGGTTCTTAAACCCGCCCCCTTTTTCCCTAGCTTTGCTTCTCAACAACCAGTCTATAGATTGGGAGTTTCTCAAATAAGTAAAAAAGGAAGAAAGGAATTCCAAAAAGCACGGCCTTTTGCACAATCCCTCAAGGCACATAAATTAGAGCCATAGAGCTACAGAAAACGTACCTTTGCTCAGTTGAGAATTGCCCCAAAGGAGAGCTTGGATCTTATCAGACTTGGTTCAGGAGCTGCAGCATCCAAGGACTTTGGTTGCCTTTCTCCTAAATTAGGCTTTTGATACATTGTCGAATGGGAAACCAGTTTGTCCAGGACAGGATGCTCTCCCCTGTCCAGGGGAGGAAAGAGCCTTCTCTGAAGGCAGCCTTCTGCTCTTCTCTGGGTTTCTGTTTTGTGGGTTGCTGTTTAGAAATAAGATGTACCCTGTCAGCTGGCAATTGTTTAATCTGACGTGACCCAGACTTATGGAATTGATTGACACTAGAAGTATCAAGGCTTTGGGGGAGGAAAACAGTTTAAAATTCTCAAATGAAATATTTCTGCTAAAGCAAAAGAGGCCTTTTTCCATCTCAAATGCATTTGAATTATGCTGAATTATCAGCCACTAAATGCCTCTTCCCCATTCTGTGTGTTGACGCTGTTAACGTTTTGTCCTTTTTCACAATTTAAATTTAGTTTGGTCCACAGCCAAACTGAAGTTTTATTTTTAGCCAAGGTTACACTTTTTTTCTTCTGTATATATTGCACTGAAGGTTACTATTTAATATTTTAATTTATTGTGTAGATAAATTAATTTGATTCATGTAAGATGTTTATGTGATTGGTTATTATTTCTTCCTTAATACGCTGAGTTAATAGATATTTAAATGAGTGAAATACACTTTTCATAATACTTTGTTGTATTTTTTTTAAGGAAGGCTATAAATTACATAAGGAACTCTTTATGCAAATGTTAGTGCTCTCTGTGTCTTATTGCAATCCTACTTCTTCCCTTGGAGCGGGCCTTGAATTGCAAAGGTTCAGGCTGGAGCCGAAGCAACTGTTTGTGTATCTGAGGAGATCACTCTTTCCGGGTGGCTGTGCGTGTAAGGAGGTGGGCCCAAAGCCAGGTGTTGTGTTTCATACCAGCTCCCTTCTTCCTCCAGGGTGAGTGTGTGAATTGTGGTTGGATGAAGACTTGCTTCATACAACAGAGTAAGCCATGGACCACAGTTCATAAACTATAATGGCTACATTCATACTATAGTTGGATGACACATCACTGTAAACCACAGCCAAAACAACCAGTCACATTACTCTTACATGCAAAACAAGTGGCATGTTTCAGTGATCTCACCAGGCTCTCTTTATGAGATAAATTTGTTGTTCTGCAAATGCTTACTTATCATTTACCATATGTGTGTTGCTTACATATTTAAAATAGGAAAGTGCATGTAAGTGCAGTGTGACTAGAAAAGGATTCCTATTGCCGCCAAGGATGATTGACTGACTGGAGAAGGCAATTCCATAAGGCAGGGGCGTCCAATTAGGAACTATAAGTCTTGTAGAATTCTGGGAGTTGAAGTCCACAAGTTCCAAGTTTGGACTCCCCTGCCATAAGGGAACCCTGATCCTTCTGATTTTCCAGGTTGTAATGTTTCCGACTACTGTTGCCAACCATTAGTGTTCTCCGAGTGCTTGAAAAAACGAATGTCATTCTCTCCTGCGAAAGAGCGGAGAGCTTGAAATGTTTCCTGGCTGCCAGCTAGCAATTTCAACAGTAAGAAACCTAATTAAGACCTGGAGGTCCATGGAAAAGCTGAGGTCATGGCTGGGGAAATGCTGGCTGGGGAATTCTGGGAGCTGAAGTTCACCCATGCTAAAGTTGCTGAAGTGGAGAAGCACCAATCTCTAATGTGCAAGAGAAAACCAGGGTAAGCCTGAAATATTTTGGAATAAAGTGCTTTGGATTGATGAGAAAAGAAGCGAACTGTTCAGCCACAACTACTCAGGACACATTTGGAGGAGGTGGGGGGGGGGGGAAGTGAGAGTTGAAGAAAAGAGCACTTTGTCAATTGTTGAGCCTGGGGGTTGCTGTATCCTACTTTGGGATTATGTAGCAGCCAGTCACACAGGAAATATTGTGTGGGTGGAAGGAAGCAGGGAGGCAACTAAATATCAAAGTACCCCAGAAGCCTCAGTCAGGAAGAAATGGAAGTTGAGAAGAGGTTGGGTATTTCAGCAAAGCAACACAGTTGAAACCCAGAGCAGCTTTAAAAAGACGCAAATTTGCTTGAATGGCAGAAGGGTATTACAAAATTGGATGGGCGGGGAAAAAGCCGAGAATAAAACTTAAAATAATGCAAGATGTACGTGAGAGAGGAGGCTTGAAAATGCCAAATTTAAAACTATACTACGACGCAGTAGTTTTATCAATAATCAGTGACTGGATCAATTCAACAGAGGATAGAATACTTAATATCAAAGGGCATGATTTGGTATACGGTTGGCATGCTTATCTGATATATGACAAGAAGGTGGATAAGAATTTTAGAAGTCATATTTTAAGGAGTGCTCTATTGCGTGTTTGGAAAAAATATCAACACAAACTAAATGGTAAGATACCTATGTGGGCAATTCCCAGACATGCAATAGAGAACATAAGTATAGCACAAAAATAGGATGTAACCACATATAGACAATTTCTTACTATAGAAAGAGGTGTATTACAGTTAAAACCCTTGAATGTATTAAAAGAGGAAAAGGCAATTCAAACATGGTTTCAGTATGGACACTTACAGGCCAGATGGAAAAAAGATCAGAAAATTGGTGTTATGCAAAATGAGGACAATCTACTAAAACAAATTAGGGATCAAAGCCAAATGCATATAAAAAAATTATATAATGTATTAATAGAAATGGATTCTGAAACAGAATTAGTTAAAGACTGTATGATAAAGTGGGCACAAAATTTTGAAGAACCAATAATGTTGGATACATGGGAAAAGATATGGGTAAGAAATGTAAAATTCACGCAAGCCTAAAATCTGAGAGAGAATTTTTATAAGATGTTTTATAGATGGC